GCGTAACAATTAGTATGAAAAACGTCAGTCAACATATGACTTAATGATAGATTGTATTTACGGACAAGGTCATAGAACTCAAGAAATGATGACTTTAAACGAGACTGTTGATATTCTTGTTTCGTCAACTTGTTTGTCAGTAACTTACCTCGTTTTAGAAATTGTTCATACGTAGAGCATGCTCTTGCATATCGAATCAACTGAGAGATATACACCCCATATGCAGGTGATAAGGGTATATTGCTGCATATGTAAGGGAAGTTTACGATTGAAAAGTTAAAGTCATCACGTGTATCATGAAGCTTGGTGTTAGATGTACTACATTAGGTGACCTCTGGTCTCCATATAGATACAATTCACTAGATGACCTCCGGTCTCTGTTTTGATATATCACACAAAGTGACATCTGGTCTCCTACAAAAGCTGAATTCTGAATTAGGTGAAATGTACACAGTCTCTGTATTGATACACCACTCTTGGCAACCCCTGGTATATATCCGTATTGATATACAACATAAGGTGACCTCTGGTCTCCGTATGGACATACAACATAAGACGACCTCTAGTCTCCATATTGATATACAACATTAGGTAACCTCTGGTCTTGATATTGATATACAACATTAGGTAACCTCTGGTCTCCATATTGATATACAACATTAGGTGACCTCTGGTCTCCATATTGATATACAACATTAAGTGACCCCTGGTCTCCATATTGATATACAACATTAAGTGACCTCTGGTCTCCATATTGATATACAACATTAAGTGACCTCTGGTCTCCATATTGATAAACAACATTAGGTGACCTCTGGTCTCGATATTGATATACAACATAAAGTGCTCCCTAGTCTCCATATTGATATACAACATTAGGTGACCTCTGATCTCCATATTGATATACAACATTAGGTGACCTCTGGTCTCCATATTGATATACAACATTAAGTGACCTCTGGCCTCCATATTGATATACAACATTAAGTGACCTCTGGTCTCCATATTGATATACAACATTAAGTGACCTCTGGTCTCCATATTGATATACAACATTAAGTGACCTTTGGTCTCCATTTTGATATACAACATCAAGTGACTTTATATTGTCTTGGTATTGATATACTCATTTATTGTTTTTTGGTTTATTGTTATACCACATAGGGTGACCTCTGGACTCTGGTCTTTGTGTTGATATGCCACATTGGGTGACCTTTGGTCTCCGTGTTGATATTATACATTAGGTGAACTCCTGGTCTCCTTTAGGATGATTCATTCAGTCAACTGAATGGTCACTGAAAGGTCTGGAAAGGTCACTAAATGGCATAGCTTTGCCATTCAGTCACCATTCAGTAATCTTTCAGTCACCTTTCAGTTAACTGAATGGCAGAGTTTCATCCTGTGGCTACATATCGATGAAAAACATTAGGTGGTCTACATTATACCAACACTTATGAATTCGCAGAAACTCCAAAGAACTTTTTAAAAATTTCAAATCACGATTATTTTTCCAAAGTCAGTATCATCAAAACACATGACTTTTCAAAACTCTTTATACAACCATTAGTTGAGACAAAGACTAGGTTTTTGGTATCATAGACAACTGCTTCCTCAATAAAAATGGAATCGGAAATTTTCATATATTTCTTGTGATTGGTCATCTACAAAAATCGTTTCCATTAAGTGCTCCGAGATTGATATTTAAAGGATGCTTGAGTTCCTCTGTGACAATGTAGTCTTTGAGATCAGCAAGCCTTCCAACAATCTGTTTGGATTTCGAAGGGCACCGACTGTGTCCCATAATTAACCAAACCGTTGTTATATTCTTAAGAAACAGAATTTATTGAAAAAAAAACCTTCAACATAAGAAGAAAACACTTCCTGTCACAGTGGCTTTCAACTCGACCTTAAGATTTTATATATCGGCGACGTGTTATCAATTAACAATAGTCATTTTCATTTATATGTCTACTTGATATATTCAATTGAGCTCAGAATAAAAGACATCACAGAGTCCGACACATCTGTTTCATATTTGGATGTTTTACTGACTATAGACGAGTATTGCCATCTTCAAAAAAAAATTATATGACAAACGGAATGACTTATTAAGCTTTTCCACTGTCAACTTCCCTGACTATATATTTTGTCAACGAGGAACTCCCGCATCCTTTTAATATCAACCTCAGAGTACTTTTGTGTAGAATCAGTATGATTTTAACGAAGTAATTTTGTAGTTGACCAATCACAAGGTATGAAAAATTTCGAGATCTATTCTCAGTTTATGGTCAGTTTCTGTAGGAATACGAGATGTCATTTGATGTTTCTATCATTATCGAGACAAAGAGTTCATGGTTGGTGTTATATTATATCTTTATGAAGATTGGAAGTCATAATGGTTTAAATCAATATATACACCCGTCTTCCATAAGACACCTATAATTTATGTCATTATACAGACCGAAATTTATTACCAATAAGGAGACCAGTGTCACTTAAAGTGTTTTATCAATACAGTAACCAGAGGTCACCAAATTTTCTGTATCAATTGGATATATATCTTTGAACTTAAAATAAAAGATACCACAGAGTCTGATACATCTGTTTCTTATATTTTACTAGAGAAAGACATTAAAATGGCAAATTAACAACAAAACTTTATGATAAATGTGAAGACTTCAGCTTTTCTATCATCAACCCCCCTTATTTATGTAGCAATATACTCTTATCACCTGCATATGGAGTTTATTTCTTCCAGTTGATTCAATATATGCAAGAAAATGTTCTAAGTACAACAATTTCATAAAAGGCATGCTATTGACAAATAAGGTGATGATACAAGGATATCAACAGTCTTGTTTAAAGTCAACATTTCGCAAATTCTAAAGTCGACACAATGTCTTTGTTAGCATATACAATTTATCACCAAGTCAAATGCTGACTTTTTCATACAATTATATTGTTGGACCATTATTTTTTACATTGAAATGTCTACGGATTTTCCATTTTTCCAATCATAAGGAGCACATGGCGAGTGTGACCGGTTGACAGGGGATGCTTACAATTGATATGGATATATGCAAAAACATTTATTGGCGGGGAAAGAGTTAAAACTGATGTTTGGGTGGAATATTCAGCACCCAGAGAACGCATACTATGGAAATAAAAGTATACGTGTTATAGGTATGTTGACTCTGCCTTCGAAATTAAGGTAGAAATAATCCCCCCTCTTCAACTTTCATATCAAAAACTGTTTACAATTATAAGAGATGTTGCTAAAATATAAATTGTTTTTTCAAAAAAGAAAACAAAACTAACCATCAGTAGAAAACCAATTTCACAAACACCCTCCCCACCCCTTTTCAAACAGATAAATAAAATTAGATATTTGTATGAGAAAAAGAAAATTCGAAATTTTGACAACCTTATATTATAGCTCATTTTAAGTGAAGGTCTAATCTAGATTAAATGTTTATTAATGTTAAAGAATACATCTCATAAAGTCTCTGTCTGGTGTGAGTAAGATGGTCGAGTTATTAACTGCATATAAAGCTACCCATTTCTGTGCGCAGATTTTTTTTTTGGGGGGGGGGGGATGCTACATTTGTTTCTAAATATAACCAATCTTTTCCTAGTTTCTTATTTACATAATATCAAGATGTGCATTTCTATGCTTAGATTTTAAAATTTGATGACTAGTCCAAGTGTTTGTGGTGATTTGGTATAGTACAATTACATATCTAAATAAAGTGAATGAAGACTGCACTGAAAATGACTTAAAGAATAATTTCTGTACAAATCATTCATTATTTCTTGCATAAAAAGCAAATAAAGTGAAATTATTGCATAAAGTGATATGGTTTTACAAATCATCACAGATGGTTTGTCCCACTTCTACAAATGTTCACTGGTGTTAAGCCAATATCATGAATGTTACAATGATTTTAAACACAGAGTGATCTACCTGCTATTTGTTACCAAAGAAGGCTGCTCTTACTGATGATTATTAAAAAATTATGAATTTTTCACTGAAATCTTATCAACAGAAAATGAAAAGTGCTCAAAAATGGAACAATAGTAAGTACATTTGTAAAAATCCTCTATCACTACTTTTTGGATACGAGTCCTAATATTTGTTCTTTTTTCAGTTTATTTGTATATTACCTATGTAGTGACTTGCCAGATCTACATGTATACAAAAAGCAAGCAAAAAATCGCTACAAAATTATTACTAAAATATACATGGTACATGTATGAGAAATTTCATTATTGCATGATTGGACTTTGTCAGTAAATTCTGATTAGAATGTTACTGACTAATGAGAAATAATATATATACACAGACCTACTGCTGCTACTTACCTAGATATACAACTCACAAAAATGTCAATGTGAAAACAACATCAAGAGGAAATATCCCTCTATTCTATGGACAAAGTATGAGGCAAGAATATTTACAAATATTTGGCACTGATACATAATAACTTCTGTGTAAGTCTCAATCTTTTGAAGTTAAAAAGATGCATACATTGTGAAAATTCTAATATCATAAAAATTTCAGCTTCAATTACAAGAGTTATCCATCTTGCATGCTATGGAAAAGAGAATGTTCTATTTCAATACAACATGTGCACTTAGAAATAAAGAATATTCAATTTTTTGTGGTTTAAATATGGAATTTATTACACAATTTGGACAGGATTTTTTTTCATATTCTCATGAGTACAAAGTATAACTGAAAATACAAAAAAAAAAAAAAAAAAAAAGAATTTAAAAAAAATGGTGTCTTACTAAATAACTTGAAACAGAAAATGTTGGGGATTTTCTGAACTTTTGCTGCCATGTGATACTATGCATTAGACATTTAAGTGTTTTTGTTGTTATTTTCAAAAAGTGTGGAAATATTAATTCTAATAAACAGATAAACATTATTCACTGATGAAAATGTAATAAAAGAATATATTTCTTATCATGAAATATTGATTGCACATAGTTACTTAAAAGAAAAAAAAAACAGAGGAACCACTTAATACACTTTGAATAAGACATCAATTTAACTTTCTGATAATACAGGAACTCTTCACTAGATATAATAAAAATGCCCAGAAAAAAATATTGTACAGTTAAAAATTTTATAAATAACTTAAAATACTTCTGGTATAAAAGGTAATTCCACAACACAACAACACAACACAGTAATAATATAAAAAGTTTCTGGAATTTTTTTCATATGGAATGGTTAAAAAATAATTCTTTTTACTAAAATATATTGCTTGTTTGATTAAAATTATTGCCACTAGCTAACGAATCACACCATTCACTCCTGGAATCACATTAAAATCTACAGTGTCTCTGTCATCATAACGGAGTCTCCATTGGATACTCGTCATCTGATGTTTCTTGTGCAGGGTTATCTTCCCCTGTCACAGCATCCAATGTCTGAAGTGTCTGTTCTACAGCACTGTCCAAAAGTTGATCCTGAGATGAACTTTGCACCACACTAACACTCACAGCCACAGCACCACCACCTTGTGGCTCCACCACTGTAGATACCACATTTCTGTCTGTGGAACTGTTATTTCTGGAATGTATACGGAAATTTCCTGCACTACTGTTTCGTGAATGTTGCTGTGAGTTATACTGTCCTGTAAAAGCCACATCACTACCATGCTGTATGTAGTCATCTGGTAAAGATGGTCTTTGATGAGCTGCATGCCCTTGAGTGCTTGCATGTGATCTGTAGGTGGGGGGTCTTGAGTTGTCTCCCTGGGTGGGAGGGAACGTGATCTGTATTCCTGTCCTGGCCGTGCTGGCTCGAGACCTATAGGAGGGAGGGGGAGAGCTAGGGAGACTGTAGTCCTCTGCAGGGAGCTCCTCTGTGGCATGAAACCTCTCCCTTTGGCTCTGTGCTAGGGCCAGCTGATGTTGGAAATCCTGCATGGAGGCATTGTAGGAGGGAGGGGGACGTCTGTACTGAAACTCTGGATACATCATCCCTATAGGAACATCATAATTTGCAGGTGTACAAAATGAAATGACAGTAATTCTTCACTTAATAAATTCATAGATAATAAAGTTGAAGTTGTAGGCATATCTTTATATGTTATGCATGTCATATAAGATGCAGCGTTTATAAATATTTTCCAGCTGATCTTACCTCCATACCACTGATGCTCTCTTGTTCTCGAAGACCGTCCATGACGACGTGACCTTGACCTCCGGTCCTGTTGGTGTCTAAAGTCTCCAAGGCCAAACAAAGCATGGAGGGGTTCATGACCTCTGGGTGTGCATTTCCATCCAACTGCTACCACAACAACCAACAGGACACCCAGACCTGTTTAATCACAACAATTCCATGACAACCAAAAACATAAATGATTTATGGTTTTATGATTACCTACAGTTTTTTTTGGAGTGTGACTGTAATTCCATATACATTAAAATATAATGAAAATAAAATAAATTAAATTGATGTATTCTGCTTGCTTTGGAAACATTGATAGTGCCATTACCTTATAATTAATCCAGATGCAATGTGTATAATATATATTGTTCAATGTGCCTGTATGCTCGATGCATTACTATGGGGATTTCATGCATACTGATGTGGAATCTTTGATAACGTAAAAAGTATAGGGCTGCCTAATCCCCACCTCATTTGGTATGTACCATATGTGTGTGTGCAGGGGGGGGGGGGAGGGGGGTGATTGCACTTTTTCTGCTTGTCCAGAATTCAGTACATGCAATAGCACTATTTATACATGTATATAACACTGTTCAGTCTAGACAAGTACAAATGTACCTTGGTTATAAATTTAATGCATGTACAATTAAAAACACTGAACAGAACAGCAAATTAAACAAATGTCTTCAGTTCATAATTGATGTGATTAATGACTATAAATATATTAAGATGGATTAATTTGCACTTCCAGGTGTAACAGGCTGTGCATTATCAGAATAATGACATTATATTTATTGAATTTAAGATGACAGATTACTCTCTGAGGTTAACTATCAATATCCTGCTACTTGAAAATTTTTTTACATGTAGATATATATTAAACAATACCTTAATTCATGAACTAAATATAAGTAGATATACTGAAATAAATAATAATTTTTCAGTTCAGTCTGTTTCCTATAGTAATAAACCTGATTAATGATTTGACATGGGTGCTTTATAGTATTTCAGTTTCTACACTGTTATAAGTGTTCATTATCAGTTCGGTTGCTCATTTGTAGCACTGCCTGGTTATTATACAAGAGTTTAAGACACACAAGTAATCTCCTTAACAACTTCACAGTTTGTACCTAAACTATGGGGACCATTAATTATATACTCTGGAACTATACACTACAAATAAAAAAGAAACCAATGACAACTTAAAAAAGAAACATAAATCAATCTAACATGACAAAGAATATCACAAATCAAACTGTTGTTTTAATCATGTTAATAGCCTGATCAAAACATCTATGGTTTAACAAAGCCAGTATTTATCCATGGGTTCAAATGACATCACTAGTTCTTTTTTAGAATCTTTTGATGACATATAAAACAGAATAATTAACATGATTTACTGTTGTTTGAAATCAAGAATAAATTGACATACCTCAAAATTATGTATATCAAGACCATAATTTGGGGCTGCATATAACATGCAAATTAAATATATATTGAACTGTAAAAACTTTAATCATAAGGATCTTTTAGGTATAATTTTATCTGCAGATCTCTTTTTCATGTTCAGGGTTTGAAAATAACATGACACCCCTCAGAGAAATCCTGCTCCACAATAACCTTGAGACCACACCAAAAACCATTTTACCTGTGTGAAATGATACCCTGAATACAGAAAGACAAGCAAATGTCCCCCAGGTGTAGACCAGTTAAAGAGAACAGTCGTAAAAATAGGACCAAGGGCAAAAAACAAGGATTACAAAAGGCCTAATCCATTAGCTATATTACCTAATGCACATCTTAAAACAGATTACTTCACTGAACAAAGAAAAAGTAAATTTTACTTTAACATGTTAAAACTGTAATAACTTTTTATCATGTGTGTAACTAATTCCATCATGTATTATCTTAATCATGTTATTAATTGCAACTTTTTGTGTTATTGTGTAAAGTCAAATTTCATTTTTTTCCACTGGAGATCAATCCTCTTTGATCCTAATTACTCTTAGCACAATAGACAAAGCTACTGTTTCCCCAAAATGTGTAAGGAATATGCTTGTCAAACAGAGAGAACTTGGATTTTAAGGAAGTAGAAGTTTGTTGACAGATTCAGGTGATAAATGACTTAAAATGAGCCTTGTCACGTAATGGTAGGAACTACAGAGTAACAATAAATTTATCTTCCTAAGAGACAACTATTGAAATAAGCACTATAAATAAATATGTGTGTCTCTGCTAAAACTGAAAAAATCAAATACACAGGTAAATAGTACCTGTACATAAACATCAGGACAACTTCATGTATCAGAACTCAGCCCAATTTACTCAACAACCTCAATGTATAAATTGCATTGAACTTGCTCCTGGATTTATTTAATAATGCATGAACAAATATTGACGTAAGCGAATGAATGTGGTGGTGGTTTTTTATAACGCTGTCACAATTAAAGACACTGTCGATCTGCGCCCAGGAAATGGACAATTCTACACACAGACTTTCTACAACTCTTTATTAAAAGGGGCCCCCAGGTTGTGAATAACATTTAAGATAAGAGATAAATGTGTAATGTAATTACCCCCTGTAGTGAATGTTTAAGTTTATATTCTGCCATGCTGTTTTGTATATTTTGCCATATGAACAAACCGTATGTACCTATTGTCATTGCTTTCACAGAACTACATGTACATGGTAACATTCCATCGCTTTCTCCAGTATTGAACTTAAATTATGAAATTTCTTTTGAACATGTTGAATAGCCTGTTTCTTACCGATTTAAATTGCTTAGTTGAAATTTAGTATGAAAATTATACATAATTCTTACCTATAAACATTATTGCGAGGAAGAGAAAGCTATTCCCAGTGGCATGGAGTGCTGCAAGTACAATTCCAGTCACAACACAACAAACACCTAACAATGACAAAATGACGAGAATCCATCGGAATGAAGTGGTGGCAGCCAAACACGAGAGGCATCCTTCCTTACAGGGCTCAGGTTCCACAGAGGAGGAACTACGAGACCTGTGCCTCCGTCTACCGTGATGTGAGCGATGCCCCGACCTGTGGTGGTGCCGTGAGTGATGGCGGTGTTGGGGGTAGTGACTGTATCCCCGCGGGTCATGAACCCCAGGGTGGGACTGCCCTCCCTGCCTGGGAGAGGAAGAATTGTGGGAGGGAATAACATGAGAGTGTAGAAGATCGGGTAATGGCTCGTGACGCATCTCTTGTTGTGCTGCAATGACTCCTACATCTATGTCCTGGGTTTGTATAGAATGTCCTGGGGCCATGTTTTCATTGTTGGTTGACTGCTGTGATGTATCTGTGCGTACTGTGGGGTCAGTTTCATTCACCTCTGCTACGACTTCACGTCTCTCTGCTGAAGAAGTCCCCCTGTTCACAGTGTAGTTTGATTGGCTAGGAATACCACTAGTTTGTCCTACTGATTCATGTAAATTAGAATTATAATTGCCTCTGGCTGGCGAACGACTGTCATTTTCTTCATTGTTTTGATCCATGTTTATACAATTATGCAAATTACGACTGCTATGCACCCAACTGCGGTTGTCAACAAAATTTGACCTGTAGTGCGTGTGGTTTCCTTTAGCACTCTCCGGTAATGTTTCCGCTCTTGAACTATTTGTCTCCTGAAAGGAGGCACCACCTATTGAAGAGGCCCCACTGTAAGCACCACTCACTGAGGCAATGCCTGAATTACTCCGTGGAGGTTGTGGGGCAGTCCGTTTGTCAGGGTTCCACGCTATGCTTCTGTTTACCTCATTGCCACTGCTAGCCATACCCCATAAACAAAGATATTAGTAGCAAAGCCAAGGAAAACGATTTTCAATATAACTAACACATTTTTTAATACCCTATCCCTGATAAGAACACTAAATCCCTCCTTCAAATGTTTCAGGATTTAATTTTGCTTTTATTATCTTCAACATAAAAGTGAATCTCTCTCTTGATAATCTTCTCTACAGTGATTTGAGCTTTCCCCTTTTTCCATGAGTGGGCTGCTTTTGGTCTGTCCCGGCAATGTGAATGTTCCTTGCTTGGAATAGTCCATCAATAGATGTGAATTTGACACAAGTAAAGATATCCTTAGACACATTTATTCTTCTGTAGACATTTAAAAACCAGGAGTTTTGATTTCCAAAGATTATTTTGGCCTGTCTGCCACTACACAAAGACCTTTATTTGGGTACTGCCTAATGGTCTTTACATTTTGTTTTGGATTAAGGACACAGCTGGTGGAAGGACCTCGTGTGACTTCCGAGCCCTCTGTAATCCACTTCACGGACTAACAATTCCAGTCTCTCTGTAAATAAAAACATTCAGCTGACATCACTAAATGGATCACCTTCTTTGTTCAATAGTGCTGATTTAATCAAATGTGTCATTTACATGGTAAGCAAGCTTAGCAAACAAACAAACATAAAAAAAGGTATGTAGTTGATAAAAGAGTCTTAGCATTCCCCAGGTATCTGTTGACCCCCATCAGCTGTTCAAACCACTCAAGTGTGTCTTTTTACTTTGTTTTAGGTCAACAATTGTATCTGAGCAGGAAATAGCCACAGACACTATATATTTTTTTTTACCTGTTCACCTGACCACAGAGACATTTATGTACAGTTTTTATATGTTTACACACAGTATCCATCCATAAATTATATGTATGTTGTAGGTGTATTTAGTTACCAATATATAAAATAAATATCAAAAGCTTAATAGCAAGTGTCAGTTATTTGACAATCGATTCATTATCATAATTTCCAGTCATATCTTAATAAATTGACACATTTTTTAAAAAACAAAACCTTTACAATGTATGCTAATGTACCAAGATTATGGAAGACATATACTAATGACTTACAGAGAAATATGACTTATCATTTTGTAATAAACAGTCTTAATCAATAAATAGTGAAATAGTGAAATCAATGATCATATTTAACAATAAGAGACCATAATAAATTTATGAGTATATCAATCAAGTTCAGTTGCTGAAACATTTGGTGTCCTCTGCAAATAAATGTTCTAAATTCACCAATTTGTCAAATGCCCCTGAATATAAAAGTTCAAAAATACAGTAAACCAGAATTGAGGGAACTGCTTGACCCATCCATCACAGGGAACATATATTAATATTGGAATGAAATAAGAGAGAGAGAAAGAGAAGTGAAATATCTAATATTCCCCATGTCTGAAATTTCATTTGCTAGCATTTTCTCTCTGAGTCTCATACTATTTAGCTTATTTGTTATAGATTCAATAGACTGTCTTTAATAAAACAGCTTTAATGCAAGGCAGTTTTATTCCTTGTAAAATTAAAGCTTACTGAAGCATGCAAAGCATGTCTAAAATCAATATCTGTTCAATTGCACATTACATAGCCTTTCAAATTAGATCAAAGAGAATTTTTTAACAAAAAGTTGAGTAATCTTTAGCTGAATTTTACAACTGGCTGGCATCTATAATTATAAGCTGATCGATCTCCCCTTCCATTTATTGAGTTTTAACATTACAAAAACAACATACTTTGGGGTCTTTATATCAAGTCTTAAACCCAAACTAATTGTTTTAATAAATTACATGCTATATCTGCAGGCAAAGGTTTCTCTTAACTTTTCAGCTTGAGATAGAATCTTTTTTTTTTATTTAAAATATAATTTTGACAGTATTGAAGCCAGAAGTTCTAAACAGATCATTTCAACAATATACTGTTTTTAGGTAAGCCTTCAATTCATTGAAAAACTGAACATAAGATTAACACAGGATTAAAATATTGAGAACTTTGTACTCTAAGCATTCTAATTTATTGTCAGTAATAAGAATATTTAGATCTTCAATAAATCGTAAATATGTTACTGGATATAATTATCTGTGCAACACTGACAAATATTAGTTATATATGTGTTTTTTTTTTACAACGAGAAAAAAAAATACAGAAAGTATATCACAGCTAGCAATTAAAATTATAAAAATACTATAAATACATTATCATCAATCTTATTATAGATAAAATGTCATTGTGTCAGTTGTAAATACAATGGCATTTAACAATACAAGTAGATAACAAATTCAATTAACTATAGCTGATAATTATCTATCAATAAACATTGAACACAATTAGGCATACGTATTACTTAATCATTTGATCAGAGACATAAATAAAACATGGTGTTTTATTATTTATGTTTCTGATTCAGGGCTTTCAAAAAGATTAGAAACAGGTTGTTCTTTTACAAAAACAGGAGGTATCTTGTGGAACGATTTTAATTTAAACAAGATGTGTTTGTGAAACACTATGCCCCCGTATGGAAGCTTATGTCAAAGGATAAAGTTTCTCAAATGCAAGTCAAAATCCAGGCCAAAAGATAAAAAATGTTGATACCCAAAGAAAGATCTTGTCTCGAGGAAAACACCTGTGAAATTTGAAAGACCTAGATAAGATACAACTGTTCAAAAGTTATGGTGAAGGTTAAAATTTTTTAAATAAAAGTCAAACGTCAAGGTCAAGGTCAAAGTGGTTGGTATCCAAAGGAAGATCTCGTCACAAGGATTACATGTGTGAAGTATGAAAGCCCTAGCACCAACCATTCAAAAGTTATGGCCAAGGTTAAAGTTTTTCAAAAGTAGGTCAAACTCCTACATGTAGGTCAAGGTCAAAGGGTCAAAGTTGTTGGTATCCAAAGGAAGGTCTTGTCACAAGGATTACATATGTGAAGTATGAAAGCCCTAGCATCAACCATTCAAAAGTTATGGCTAAGGTTAAAGTTTTTCAAAAGTAGGTCAAACTCCTAGGTCAAGGTCAAAAGGTCAAAGTCGTTGGTATTCAAAGGAAGGTCTTTTCACAAGGATTACATATGTGAAGTATGAAAGCCCTAGCTTCAACCATTCAAAAGTTATGGCCAAGGTTATAGTTTTTCAAAAGTAGGTCAAACTCCTAGGTCAAGGTCAAAAGGGTCAAAGTGGTTGATATCCAGAGGAAGGTCTTGTCACAAGGAATACACATGTGAAGTTTGAAACCCTAAGCACCAACTGTTCAAAAGTTATGGCCAAGGTTAAAGTTTTTCAAAAGTAGGTCAAAGTCCAAGGTCAAGGTCAAAAGGTCAAAGTGGTTGGTATCCAAAAGAAGGCCTTGTCACAAAGAATACACATGTGAAGTTTGAAACCCCAAGCTCCAACTGTTCAGAAGTTATGGCCAAGGTTAAAGTCTCATAAAATTTTGCAAAAGTGGGTCAAACTCCAAGGTCAAGGTCAAAAGGTCAAATATGATGGTACCCAAAGAAAGGTCTTGTCACAAGGAATACACATGTGAAATATGAAAGTCATAGCTCCAACCAATCAAAAGTTATGGGCAAGGTTAAAGTTGACAACAGACAGACAGACAAACAGACAGTCAGGACAAAAACAATATACCCCCGGGATCTTTCGATCCAGGGGCATAATAAATATGTTATCAAATTTTTCTCCAACAACCATTTTGGTCAGAACAATCATGATTTCAGTCGGGTGAAAGTACTGGGTACCGGCAGATTTTGAAAGACCTGCTGATTTAGTATGCAAGATCTTAACTTTCTCTTTGACAATCTGATTGTAGAACATTCTTTGTACGCTTAAAAACTCATGATCGGATGAACAACTTATCCATGGTAAAAAATACTTAAGGCATCAATTTTATATCCCTGGTGCCTATATACTCTGGATCATACAGACATAAAATAATGTAAACTTGCTTCAGTGCTTTGTACACTGTTGTAGAGTTCTTCTATGGGATTTTTCCCAACTAGACATGAACCAAATTGCGTTTGACTCCAGGTTTCCTTTCTATGTACACAAGCTGTAAGTGCATGCAAATTCATATTTTGACACATTTGTTTTGTGCAAACTAACTGCAAACTGACAAAGGATTATATCACAAACAACCACAATCATGCAAACAAAAAATAAGCAGACCGCAAATAAATTATGAAATAAATATTGTCGTGAGCCATTTCCAAAGTTTAATTCTGTTTCTTAAGTTACAAGTTTACCATTAAATTGGATGTTTACAACGCTACTTACTTGTACCTTTTCTTTGTTGACAGTGCAATCAAAGGCCTCTAGAAGGAAGTGAAATCTCGTTTAAAGGTCTCGCGTTACACGAGATTAATGGCCGCCTCCATCGTAGTTGGAGGAAGAGGTAGGCGAACCGGAATACACATTGTAAGCTGACAATGATCGGCTTATTTTTCTTTTCTGATCTATTGCATAACAAATATGCCTCAAGATGTATTCTGATGAAGCTTTAACGTATTCAATAATGAAAGTAAATTCAAGATATCTACCTATAACCGCAACCACGTCTACTTTCAGATTCAGACTATATCAGATTTAACTACCTCGGTGTATAAGCGTGATATGATAGTTTTGTTAGTTCTGAACTCCAAAATATTTTATTGCTTTGCATTAAAATATGTCCTTATTGATCTATTTGGAAGAGGGTCATATTGAAGTAAGAGAACGAAAGACCAGTGCCTACAATTTCTTTTAATCAAAAGTCTGAATATGCATTGCCATTTGTTCAGAATATTCAGCGTTTGCTGTGATTGTATCTTGGCGATGGGATACCCCAAACCTAAAGCTTGTGCACACAGTATACCTTGGTGTCAAATGATTTAAAACGTTATTTTACTAAACAGTACATACTATTTCTTTGCTTTATTTCAGAATTTTGTAGTGGAGTACACAAGATTGCCAATTGGAGATGGCCCAGCAGTTAGTTCAGAATGTTGTTGATATTATGGATAATGCCCATTCCCAACAACAACAGCTGACAGAATCCATGAAGTCACTGTCGGAGGCCAAACAACAGGTGAAAAAATTGGTATTTGAAGGTGGATGATATATTGTAGAAAGGTGTATAAGGATACTGACAATCAGTTTTAAGACACCCAATCACAAAGATGTCATATCTACCATGTAGGAAAAACAGATAGAGCATGCTCTGAAATGATTCGGGGATTTGTATTGGTAATAGGTGTTGGATTAATATTAAAAAAACTTTTGATTATATCAAGCATTTAAAGTACAAATTTAATATATTTTTGATTTTTTTTCCCTGCTCTAAATTCATATAAATGTTGACAATCAAACCTTTCTGTAGTGTTTGTACATTATGCACTTCACTTATAAGAGTGTGTTATAGATTTCAGGTACACAGGGAATATTCATTAAACATTATCTGTAGAACTATTGCATTTTAAGGATTAAAACATTCCCTGTAAAGACATATCAGCATGGAATTTTGTGTGAAATACATGGTATAATTATTAGCAATTCTACAGGTACATTGTACATGTACG